TAAAAGGGGTGTAAAGGAAACATGATTGCCTATTTATATATATGATTCTGGCACGACAGTCTTACAAAAAAGCTCCCCTGCCAACTTTCATGGTGAAAAGCTCTTTTGAAAAAAAGCACTTGAATATAATTTTTCTCCCGCTGCCCTAACAGTCGCAATGGCCGAGTGAGCAAAGCACTGGCGTGCCATTCGAGAGAACCGTGGTCTAGTCCTCTGGCAAAGGATTTGTGTTTTAAATTTAATTTTCTTTTAACTTTAGAAAAAGGGAGAAAGGTTGTCAATTCATGGGTATATTGTCTTTTTATGTACATATGTTACCGGAAAACTTTTGACTACATAATCCGTTTTCGATTATTCTTTTTTTTTTTTGTCGGAGTGGTTCCATATTAATTTGGTTTAGTTTCTATCATCGTGTCATGTAGAAATTAAAGGTACCACTAAATGTGCATATGGGCAATGAAGTCGGTTGTATTTCTTGTTTAAAAATTACTTGTTAGATTGTACAGTTGCAAAAAGAAAAACATTTTTCTTAAATTTCTTTTGCTTATTTTTTCTTACTTTTTAGTTAATATTTTCTTTGTTTAATTTAATATAAAATAATAATTGTTGGGAAAAAATATTTTTTGTTATTTCATTTAGTTTTCAGGAAGTCATGTTATTTAGTGTTTTTTTTTCAAATTTAAATTTTTATATTTCAAAATTCCTTTTAGTTATTTTTTAGTTCCTAGATTATATTTTTTTTAAAACCTTTTTTCACAAAATATTGGGAACATATTTTAATTATATTTTTTTTTTAATTTTTAGGTTTTATATTTTTTAAGAAATAAGTTTTTTTTGTAATTTGCTTAAATTTTTAGAAAATTATTATAAAAATTTCTTTTTATTTTATTATTATTTTTTTTTCTTTTTTGCCTTTGGGAAGTTGAAAGTCAGCTAAAATTATGTTTCTAAAAAAGTTGAGCTAAATATTGTTAACAACAGCACTTTCTACGAATTTCTTGAATAACATAAACTAAAAATGTAGCTTACATATTAAGTTCCTCTACGTTTTTGCTAATCAATGGTCACTGCAGAAATTTTAAAATGTCATTAGACAACACATATTTATGTACATATGTAAGTAGTTTTACAATGAAAAAGCCACTTAAAAATCTGACGAACAAAAAGAAACAACGGTTGGCATAGATTCTTGTATTCTTTGTCTGCAGCGTTTGGAGCAAGAAAAAAAATCGACGATATTATTGCTCAGCTGAAACGATGCCAACGATTGGCTCACTGTCCGGTCCAGTGTTTTGTTGTTATTCAGATATCATAAAACACAATAGTAGCGGATACTTAGCGATGAGAATTCTTAGCGATGCTCGGCGTTGAGTAAGGGCAAATCAACTTTTTTCTTTCAATACAAAATATTACTTTTTACACACATACATACTTACATTTCCCTTCATAATGGCAAATGCTGAGCAATTTTAATAATTAAGATGTTAAATTTAAATATTTATGTGAAAAAACAGTTATTTTTTTTTTATTGTTCGTATCAAAACCAAACTAATAAAGTACGGTATTATTTAAGTTTGTGGTGGTTCGTTGTTGTTTCTATTTGGCCTGTACCTATTTTATGGCTGCGTATTGTTGCAGCTGTTTTACCTACAAAGCTTGCGCGTATCAGTATTTCTTAACGTTTCGTTTTTAATAATTTTCCATATGCCCATCAACGCGCCGGTGCTGGTACCACTTTCGCTTAATGGCAGCCGTGTAGAAAAGTCAACACATGAATATTAGGAATACATATGTATGTACGTGTGTACATTAGGGAACCTTACAAAAAAAAAAGTTGGGGTTTTCTGCCGGAATTATATACTGCATTATAGATATTTTAAGACTTCCGCCAAAATATTTTGGAAAGCTGGACCCTTTTGAAAACACCGTGCGACAAAAACAAAAAATTTCAAAACACACGAAAGAATCGATATACTCACGAAACTATGGACCAAATATAGTAAAACTGCTTTTTTAACTTTTCGCTCTGATGTCGGGATTTCTTTTCAAAGGACTTTGAAATTTAAACATATGATTAATTCAAAACATTATTTAAAAAAAATTAGTGCAATGTAGAATAATAATATTGGTACCAAATGAGAGAAAAAATTCTGTAGAATTTAAAAACAATAAAGTTGTTTGGTGTACAAGGACGAGTAGGTATTGAAAATGCACTTTTAATACATTTTATCTATTTACGTTAAAAAAGTTTGCGGGACGAAATTCGATGATGAGGTCGTTCGTATATTAGTCCTCAAACAATAATTAACAAAAAAAAAAGACAAATTAATATTGAAAATTGTCAAGAATATTTGAGCACAGAATATGTAAAGGACATTTTCCATACCCTTCGACCTTATGCCGCAAAAAATTTACTCTGTTATAATTCAACATATTTTTTTTTTTTTATATGAAACCCTTATTGTAATCCTGCATTGCACCTAATTTTTTGAAATAATCATATTTTTTAAATTTCAAAGTACTTTTTAAAACATCCTGATACCTCCAGAAATTATTTTGATTTCGTTGATAAAATTGTTAAACAGTTTTATGCCGAACTTTTAAGCTTAAACTATTATATCATCCGAAGTGATTTTTTGGAATAAAAAAATTTAAAGACTAACTTTATCAG